AGAGATCAACCAATGAACTTGTATGGATATATGCATGACCTGTGGACACAGGTGGTGAAGGCCTGGGGTGGGGGAGAGGGGTTGGTTAGAAGAGGTCAATCGGGTGGGGGGGGGGGTAAAAATAAATAAATAAACATCTAACAGTCCTCCTTGAAATTTATCTTAAGAGAATAATTAGAAGTGTAAATCAAGAGGTATATTCAAGAGTCTTGTTGGTAATAAAAAATTGGCCAACAGCCTAAATATCTGACAATAAGAGATTGGCTAAATTATTGTTGTAACCATATGATAGCATATATGTAGACATAAAAGTAGACAATGTAGATCTATATTTATTGACATGGACAGATATTCAAAAATGCTATGTGACAAATACAGGGTAACACATAACAAATGAAGAAATGGAACACCAGGAAAATTTAAGTGTTCTTTTTGTTTTCCAGCAGAAATTTATTTTGCAATATTAATTTGATTATAATTTTGCTTTCAAATGGATCACATTTACTTTTAAAATTATACTTTTAGATGATCTAGTGGCATTTGATACTTATTCTAAGCAGCATACATTCTCCCCTTTCCAAGAAGCAACTCCCAATATTCACTGGATGAGTACCTTTTTCTTCTCTTAGTGTATTGTTTTTTATGGAATTGACACCATCCCCATGTGCCGGGGTGTGCACATATCCCAGGCATATTCAATAAGATCGTGGCATTTCCTGCCTCACTAAGGAAAGTTTCTAGAATAAGCAGGTGTCCTGGCCTGGTGGCTCACTTGGTTGGATGAGTCATCCTGTACATAAAAAGCTTGTGGGTTCAATTCCCAGTCAGGGCACATACCGGGGTGCCTATGGGAGGCAACGGATCCATGTTTCTCTCTCACGTTAATGTTTCTCTCTCTCCCTCTCTTTCTCTCTTCCTCCCACCCTCCCTTTCCCTTCCTCTCTCTCTCTAATATCCTTGGGTGAGAATATTTTTTTTAAAAAAGGCCCTGCTAGTGTTGTTCAGTAGTTGAGCGTTGACCTATGAACCAGAAGGTCATGGTTTGATTCCCAGTCAGAGCATATGCCCTGTTTGCAGGCTTGATCCCCAGTGTGGAGTGTGCAGGAGGCAGCTGATCGATGATTCTCTCTCATCATGGATGTTTCTATCTCTCCCTCTCCCTTCCGCTCTGAAAATTATATATATATATAATTATATATATATAATTATATATATAATTTTTAAAATAAAAAATAAAAGAAATAAGCACATGACCCAGATAGAGTCAATAAGAATCAACTTAGTGTTGGAAATGCTAAGAAAATAAAATTTACTCATCATAATGGGGTTGCTGTGAAGAACCTGGAGCTTCCGGCTGATATCATGTACTAAAAGGAATAAAAAAGTGCCTGACTGGTGTTGCTTAGTGGATTGAGCATTGTCCCATGGACCCAAGAGGCCCTGGGTTAGATCCTGGTCAGGGCACATGCTCAGGTTGCAGGCCCAATCCCTATTAGAAGGAAGCCCATCAATGTGTCTCTCTCATCGATGTTTCTATCTCTCTCTCCCTCTCTATTCAAAAATCAATAAAAACATATGTATTAAAAATGAAAAGTTTCCCCATATAAGGAAAGAAAAGCCAAAGATGGAAGAATCAAGACAAAACCTTCATGTCATTTACTGAGCACTTGAAGCAAACTCTACTACTGGATATTTTACTCATAAAGGTCCCTTGTAGGTGGACCAGCTGATAAAGTTGTTGGTAAAGACAAGAAATAACTCTAACTAGCAAATTGCCTGGTGCAGGTTATGGCTTTTTTTCTATAAAGGGTCAGATAGTAAATATTTTAGTTTTTGTGAGTAATATGATCTGTGTGATGATAACTACTCAACTCTGTTGTTGTAATGTGAAAATAGCCACAGACAACACATAAATGAGTGTAGCTGTGTTCCAATAATATTTTATTTATGAACTTTTTTTAAGTTACACTTCCTTTCAGTTATTTTAAAGTTGAAATGACCTCAGATGGTTAAACCTGTGGCTGCTTGCCTCAGGTCCCTATGCATCATATGGAAAGAGTTACCCATAAGAGGAAAGAAAAGCCAAAGAGTGAAGTATTTTGCTGGTTACGACTTAAACAGTAGTTTCCCTTTTTCACCATTCAGGATTATGCTAGGAGGAGATACTCCCCTTAGCACATCAGGCAGAAAATCACATAGCCTACTTTATTTTACATCCACTCCTACTTTTACTATTCTTGGAGGTTGCTAAATTATCATTTTTAAATCATGTTATTTCTTGTGTTTACTGGCAAAATGTGTTTCTCTCAGCTTTCCCAATTCCAAATTCTCCTACAATTCAGCAGCACAAATTACTTTTAGAATCATATATGCCTTTTCAGCACACTGTATATACAGGCATACAGATGAGCAGATTTGACTATACTTGAAAATTTCTCCAAGCCTAGCACTACCCTGAACTGCTTTGTCCTTTTGACATTTGACTAAATAACATGAACCTCTTTCCATTTTGACAGTGGAATTTCCTTCTTCCTGTCCGTCACTCCTAGTCCCCATAGCCATCATTTCTTCACTTTTACCATAGTACCAGTACCTTATCACAAAGCCCACCCCTTATACTCATTTCCCTTTCTTTCCTTCGAGTATCTTCTTCTAGCATAATCCTGAATGGTGAAAAAGAGAAACTACTGTTGAAGTAGTAACCAGCAAAATACCTCACTCTAGACCAGGGGTCCTCAAACTATGGCCCGCGGGCCACATGCAAATATAAATATTGTATTTGTTCCCTTTTTGTTTTTTTACTTCAAAATAAGATATGTGCAGTGTGCATAGGAATTTGTTCATAGTTTTTTTTTTAAACTATAGTCCGGCCCTCCAACTGTCTGAGGGACAGTGAACTGGCCCCCTGTTTAAAAAGTTTGAGGACCCCTGCTCTAGACATTAACTTAGTGGGCCTTTATAGATAATGTTTAAAAATTTTTAGTACCGCTTACAGCTTTTTTGTTTTTTGAAAGAAAAGAACTGGTACAGAATATTAATTTGATTTTAAGTCTAAGGTATGCCAGTCCCATAAACAAAATATGACATGTTATTTATTAATACCTAAGAAAGGCAGCTATATCATGTATGTCTTACCAGAAGGCTATTATAAAATATCTTAAGGTTCCAACTTTAATTATAATTTCTGGTTAGCAGATAAATTCTCTATACTGTAAAAAAGTATTTTTTTTTGTTTAGTGATAGTGTTACAATTAATTTTTTTAGTTATTTTTTTTTCCTGGAGGGTAAACCAGCAAATTTGTAATTGAATTTACTGGGGTAACATTGATTAATAAAATGTTACAACTTGAATATTTTTTAAAATTTTTTATTGATTTTTAGAAAGAGGGGAAGGAGAGAGAGAGAGAGAAACATTGATGTGAGAGAGAAATCAATTGGCTGCCTCCCACACAGGCCCTGACCTGGGCTTGAACTCACAACCTGGGCATATTTCCTAAATGGGAATCGAACTGGCAACCCTTTGGTGCACAGGACAACACCCAACCAAATCACACCAGCCAGGCTTACAACTTAGTTTTAAAGTTCTTAAATAATCAAGCTTTTGAGTACAGCACAACTTTTTTTTTCATTTTAATAACACAAACTCCTCAGTAATGATAATGGTTTGATCAATGCCTCTTATACAACTAATTTCTTCCACCTTCATACATCCTAAATGCTTTGTTTATACTGCTATACTGCGTGACTATATCTGTTTCTCGAGTCTAATTGGGATGCAACTGTAGTGCAGCAGAAAGAGCAGTGAAGTTAATATCAAATACTTGGATTATAGTATTTGTTTTATAACTTAGCAGATGTGTGCCTTTAGTGTCCCAATGATCCCTGAATTATGACATGGAAGTATGAAATAGTTTGGGACAAGGATTGGAAACTCAAAATATGTGATCTCTACACCATTTTAGTGGGTGTGAAGATAGAATATTTGAAATAAAAAATTTTGGACAAAAGATCACCAGACCTTAAGAAATTACTTAAACGTCCTGAGACTCTGTTTTGCCATCTGTAAAATAGATACAATGATGCTTACCTCACAGGATTGTTTAAGGATTGATTGAAATACTGTATGTGAAAGAGTGTAGCTCAGTCTCTGGAAAATGGATGATGTTGATTAATGTTTCTTTGGTTGGAAGGCTCCCTCCTGCCCCTTCCCCTCCACCACCACCCAAAAAATCTCCAAAATTCAAACATCTTTCAAGAAGCAGCCTAAAAGGCACTACTCTACAAAGCCTATTCAAACAATTTCAGTCCTTTGGTTAATAGTACTGGGCTTTGGAATCAGAAGAGATCCACAAGTTTAAAGTCAGAACTGCCATTAATTAATAATTCCATGACATTGAAAAACTTATGTATTCTCTCTGCATCTAGGTTTTCCATCTGTAAAATGAGATGATCATGGTACATACTTCATAAGGTTATGAAGTATTAAATGAGATATGTACATTCAAGTACCTAGCTTAGAAAGTCCTCTATAAGTATTACACAGTATGAATAGAAGTAGTAATAGAAAGTCTTCTTTTCAGTAAAATGTGAATAAAAATACCTCTAGAGTGTGGCAACGTTCTTATGCTAAATTCTTTTAAACTATAATGCTGAACCAACATAACTAATTGGTTTGTACCTTGAGATATTTGGGGCAAAGCTCAAACCCCACTTTTATGGAATATGCTTTCCCTACAGTGGGGGTTGGGAGTAGGCAATAATACTCACTATTAATTAGTAGAAAGTAAAACTAGAAGATAAGTCCTCCGGATACAAGCAGCAGAATACCAAAGAGCAGTATTAAGATCAGCACTGGAAGACCGGACCTCCTTAATTCCCTGGCGTTCACCTCAACGCCCCTCTTCGCTTAGAGCTGCGCAAGCGTACACTGATTTGCTCTTTTCTCCATCGTGCCCCCGCCTCCAAACCCCATCCTGTCTACCATAATACGCAGGCGCATCTCCTCAAACCCGTTCCCTGCCTTACACCTCTCTCTCTTCATTTCTTTCTCCCTGAACTTCCAGCATCTCAGCAAATTCAAACTCTCCTGCGTGAGGGTGGCGGCGATCGAGAGGTCACGTGATGAGCATCTTGCTGCCCAACATGGCGGAATTCGACACCATCTCGGAACTGGAGGAGGAGGAAGAAGCAGCTACGTCCTCGTCCTCGTCGTCGCCGTCGTCGTCATCGTCTGTATCGGGGCTCGAGGATGACGAGGGAGATGAGGAGGAGGAAGAAGAGGAGGAAGAAGAGGAAGAGGAGAAGGAGCAAGAGGAGGAGACGCCGCCACCGCCTAGGGTAGTGAGCGAGGAGCACCTGCGGAGATATGCCCCCGACCCTGTACTGGTGCGGGGCGCCGGCCACATCACCGTGTAAGCGAGAGGGGGTTATGGGGTTTTTAAAGGCTGAGGTATGGCTCACAAGATGAGAAGGTGATCAAGGGGCCAGTGGAGTAGGGGGTGCGGGGGGGGAGTCTTACTGAAGCATACATTTAGGAAATGACACCTGATGTAAATGGAGAAATCTGCGAGAGGGAGGTGTATAGAAAGTGAGAATGCAAATGCGATGCGCCAAAACCAGGTAAATAGTGAGCATAGGACAGGGGAGTGAGGAGTTTGGGAGCTAGAAGGTGAGTGTCCTTGCTTCTCTGTGTACGCTGGCAAGTGAATACTCTTTCAACTGCAGGATGTGTCAGATTATTTGCTGCTAAGATTGGTGTCTGGTGGAATACAGTGACTGCTGTGATATTTGACAAGACCTAGACTTGGTTTCTTCAAAACAGAAATATGACATAGAATTCCCACCCACCTACATAATCATCCATCCATTCTTCCTATCCAGTCCTTAAATGAATAAATACAGTTATCCTTTCCATGTCTTGATCACTCTCACTCTCTTTCCCTAAATATCACACAATTAGAGGTTCGGGTTGAAAGAAAGCTATGAAAGAGGTTCAGGTTGAAAGGCAGCTATGAAAAGTAGAAAGAGTAATGGATTGAAAGTGAGGGCTCTTGGTTGTTAGTCCCAGCTTTGCTTCTTTCTAACCCTGTGACCTTGGTCAGGTTACTTACCATTTCTGGGCTTTTATTTCTCTGTCTGTAAAATTAGGGTTTTTGGATAGATGGTTTCTAAAAACTTTCAGCTCTGAGATAATTTAAGATACGTACTTGCAAGAGATTTTGTATGCCAGAACGTTAAATATGCAAACATTAAATATATATGAAAATTAGTACCCCAGAAGCCTAGGATGATATTGTAAAAACTAATGCAGAATGACTTTTTTAAATGAAATTTTGGGTAATATTTGAGAAAATAAAAAGGGGAACCTCATACCATAATAGTTGCAAAGTAAAAGGAAATGTTAATGGTTCTCTGGGCTTTGAAGACTTCATTCTCATTTTTATGTGCTTGGGTTGTAAATACTTGAAAGTTTGAGTACTGGGTCATGTTCATGCTCTTAACTATGCTATCTTATACTGCATTTTCAAATAGAGCTATTATTTTTTTTTTTTACTATCAAGTCATGCTGCCTCTAATTTTGATAATGGCTCCCCTAGCCCTTTTGATTTTCAACTGAGTTTATATTATCTGAAATCATGTTATAATATACATATGATACCACCTCCCTCCATCATGTTAGCTTTTTTTTTCTTAATCCTCACTCGAGGATATGTTTTACTGTTTTGAGAGACAGATAGACAGACATAGATGAGAGAGAAACATCGATTGGTTGCCTCTTCCACAGACCCCACTTAGGACAGAACCTGAAACCCAGGTATGTGCCCTGACCGGGAATCAAACCTACAGCCTTTCGGTACATAGGACACACGCCAACCAACTGGCCAGGGCCCATCATGTTAGCTTTTGCTTTTAACATGTTGAGTGTTTTCTTTGTAATATATTGTTGTGGACTTTGCATGAAATGTATTAAGAAAGATTTTTAAATACAGGATGAGTTTGGGGATATTTTTACACCTGCTTCTTGGTTAGGCAATTTTAATAGTTTCTTTTGGACCAAGAATGTTATCAATAGACTACAATGGCCAGATGCCAGCTTTCTGCACTGTTTTACTTTAATCCCTTTTATCACCAGGGAGACTTTTTTTTTTACCCAAACTAATTATGGTGCAAAAGGTTACTTTCATGCAGATTATTTAACATGACTGAACAGAAAAAGGGTTTTTATTCCAGGCTATATTTTATATTCCAGAACTCCTCACCCTATTATTTTCTAAAGTTCAGAGAACAGACAGGGAGCAAGAAAACAGAATTTAAGTTCCCTGAAACTCTTGTGGTTCCATTCTACTCTTCACACAATCATGGTGAAGTACTTACCAACCTATTTTTAATTAAAAGCAAAGCACTAACACTTGCCATGTGCAGGTCCTTGTTATAGGTATAATATTCCTCCCAGTTTAAAGACTCTGGAATTAGGAGTGTGAAATGGTGGTGTTGGTAGCAACTGTTGGTATTAATTGAAACAAAAACCTGAAAAGCAGCAAACCAGTATTGAATTGCTAACCAATGCATATAGTTTGGAAAATTACTTTGTATTGTACACATTCTCTCAACATTTGACATCAAATGTCTGAGATTTGATAAAAGATTAAATGTTTAGGAGAACATTTTACTTGATCTGAGACTCTGGTCTGTCAATGGTAGGAAAACTTTTTTTAGTAGGTAAAGTAAGATCCTTAGGAAATAGTTAATTCTGAGACATCTAAAATATCTGGTTCTGTTTAATTTTTTCTGGCATAGGAATGTTAGAGTTGCCCTATATGAATGAAATATTTCTTATTCTGCCTTACCTCTTCTTTTTTCCATTCTCTGTGCAGTCATCTGTTTTGTAGAGGACTTAGCTTTTTTTTCAAAACTTAAATTTTGAGAGCCATCACTTCAATCTCAGTATACTTTAAACCTAGCATTTCCCCTCCCAACATTGGCTGTGCATTCCAATTGCCCCCTTTCTGACCCTGATAACACCATTCTAATTTCCTGGGGTAATATTTCAAATTCTTAAGTCATTTTACCTCTTCATTCTTTTTGAATGCCCGTCTGTCTCAAAATTATGTCATCATGCATTTTGAAATGTCTATTAGATTTTTAAAATTTTATCCATTTCTACTGGCACCACTCTAGTTTGGGTTGCCATTATCTTCTGCTTGAATTATTGGCACAGACGGCCACCTCTCCCCACTCTAATCTATCCTGCATGCTTGTGCCAAACTAATTTTCTTAAAACATAGTTTAATTATGTCACTTTTTTCCCCTGCGGTAAAACCCGCATTGGATCTTAATTAGGTCTGAATTCCTGTGCTCACTTCTTCCAACCTCTGAGGTCAAGGAGTCTCTCTACTTGCCCAAAGCTCATCCCTCTACTTGTACCTTCCATAGCTTTCTCTCAGATAGTGCTCCATCAGGCAGCCCCTGTCTCTCTAATACTCCTCTGCTTCTCTACTGGCTTAGCTTGTAAACATATTAAGAGAATAATTCTTTAAACACAAAATAAAACCAAAGCCTTCCTAGACCTATATTTCCCCTCTAGTTACTGTCTAGTCTCTCTTCCTTCCTTTTCCAAATTTCTTAAGTGTTGCTACATTCTCCACATCTATTTTCACCCCTCTATAATCTGGATTCTGCCACCATGACCACAGATGAACTGACCTTAAGATCACCATGATCCTCTTTTTTAAATTTCTTTATTGGTTAAGGTATTACAAATGTGTCTTCATCCCCCCATTAACCCCCAACCTCCCCCCCCCACACTCATGCTCTCATCCCCCTGTGATCCTCTCGTTGCTAAATTAGTGGGCATCTTTTATTCCCTTTCTGGTCCTCATGGCTGCATATGATAATTATAATGACTCCCTTCTTGGAGGCTTCTACTCTGGGAGTCACAAGCACACAGGCCTTCAGAGGCAAGATAGGTCACAGACAATGACGCAGCATGAGTAGTGATGGGGCCTTACTTGAACTGGAAAGTATATGTTTTGCCTAAAGGTATTTAAATCCTGATTAAAAAAAATTTTTTCCAGCCAAAAAAAACCCCAGAAATTTCTTGGTCACTTCACTCTCCTTGTGTGTTTGTGGCTAAATCTTAACTGTCTCATTCAAGGGCTTCTCTTCCTCTCTTGCCCCTTGAATACCAGTACTACCCAGGGTTTTGTTCTCAGCCTACTATTCTTCTCATTCTTTGTTCTCCCTAGATGATCTCATCTTGACTCTTCATGGTTTCAATTATCTGATGTCCCCCAAATATGTATCTCTGTACCAGACTCTGCTCAGACTATTATCTGATTTTCCTTACCTTATGACCCATCCTTATCTTAAATTCAACATACTCAATACAGAACTCATTCCACCCACACACACACTCACACCCCTATCCCAGCCCCTCAAAAAAATCTCACCTATTTCTGTATTCTCCATCTCAGTTAAATGTACCTGATGATCTTTTTATTCATCCGTGGTTCCTCTTTCCCACTCACAATTTTCACAACTAAGCAATCAGCAAGTATTAACAATATATGACCCAAACTTTTATTATTCTCCTCCCTACCACCACCTCCCTGATTCAGGCCTTTTTCATCACACTAACTAGTTGTCTTGCCTTCATCTTTGTTACCTTCACATCCATCTCATCCTGTTGCTAGATTAAGACAACACTTTCCTGCTTAAGACTATTATGTTGTTTTCCTTTTACCTACAGGATAGAATCTAAGCTCCATAATGTGACTATAGAACTGGACCCTGCCTATCTATCAGCCTCAACTCCTGACATTTCCCCTTACTGCTTATATTTTCCTGTTAACAGCATGCTGTTTCTTATCTCTTTGTCTCTAAGAAGGGGCCTTCATCTGGTATTCTCACTTTAGCTCTCCATATGTCACCAACTCCTGAAAGTCTTCTCTACCCTCACTACATTATAAGCTGCAATGGCAGGAACAATTTCTGGTTCCCCCTTGAATCCTCAGTGTGCACCCTAGAGTAGGCACTCAATAAAAGTGAGTTGAATGAATATTGGTTCACTTCAGTAGCACTCAATATTGGTTCACTTTAGTAATATCATAGTGCATACTATATTATAGGCCCTCAACAAATACTAGTTAGTTGAATCATGCTATGGATAGTACCTGTGTTTCTGAGCGTAAGTATATATGTATACAATAATATCATCAGTGACGGGCATGGGGATATGGAATGGCTTTACCTCTGAAAGTTTTATTAAGCAAGTCCATGTGTCAGAATACCCATCTACTTGTATCTTCCTAATATATTGACTTTTAGTTACTTTAACAAGATATTAATCTTTTAACATGTGATTAATTATAATTTTTTAAGAAGTAGAATGACTTAAACATACTAATTGTAA